TATTTTTTGTATATGCCTCCCACCTGATAAAAAACTCATGCCACTTACCCATCTATGCGGTTAAAATTCTAAGACAGGCATGAAAAATGGTTTTATGGAAAAATATCTTTTTTCCTAACATACATTTAATTATTTAGCATCAATTTATTTCAGTGTTACAACTTTCGCTGACAGATACATGAAACTTGATATTTAAAGAATATAATTAAGTAGCTGTCTCTATATTCTCACTTTTATCAGAATAAGAGTGGCATTAGCATTACTCAGTAACATAGCCAGGATCACCCTAAAGGAGAGCAGATGGCACATCCAGACCACCACTGGTGCAGGGGAAGACCAGCCATAGCAGATGCTGATGAAGCCCCAAAACAGATCAAACCCTGAAGCAGACACAAGGGTATAGCACCAAACCAGGCAAAAAATACCATTCAGCAGCTGACCATGGCACACGAGCACTGAAAAATGAGGTAACCACACAGTTTCTTTGTTTCAAGTTATAAGTACACTTGTCTAACTGCCAAGCTTCCTAGCTTACTACTGATTTTCCTGGTAGAGCTTGGTTCTCTCCAGGCTTCAGGATAAGCCTCCCCTCTCTCATATTGAACTATTCTAATTTTAGGCGATAAATACATAGGTTATCCAGATGAATTATCTGGATAATCATTTTCCTCCTCCTTTTTGATCTCTCTGCTGCCTTATCTGTTTCAGAACTTCACTCATGCCGTGATTACACACACAGCAGGCTAAGAACAGGTTTTATAATTGCCCACTCCATGAGTATTATTATAGTATCTGTATAAATTGTAGCTACATGGTAGTTTGAGGTGAATTAACACAGCTATTTTGGCGGCTCCAAGATGCTATTTTCTGTTAATAGCATATGCACGCCGTGAGGCAAGCTCTTTAGGTGCACGGTCTTCCGTTGTACCACTAGATCCTGAGTCTCACTGTTGTTAGTTCAGAGTGTCTAAGATTTATCTTTTTTCAAATGCTCTCCAAATTCCCCAAGATAGCAAGTAATTCTAAATTTAATTACAAAACTCATCTAAATTTTTTAACTTTCTTAAAGATGTCCTATATATAAACACATGTTGAAATTTAAATTATGCAAGCACACTTTTAAACATCTTTCCATTTCTTCAGAATCCCTCCAAAGCATAAGAAGGCTACTCTGTGTGAACATCTGTACACATGTATATGCACTTAAAATGCACGTTACAAGTAAGCACTTCAGTATACTGAAATGCAAAAGTTCCCTATTTTTCCCTCTAATGGCATGAGCTTTTTCTAAAGAGTTTCTAAATACTGGACCTTTATACCAGTTGATTAACATCGTGTTTTTCCTATGGTCTAATTTGTTGTTCTTGCCTTTCCTGTCCTTTAATTCCCTCAAGTTAATGTGTTATTGCTTTGATTGCACAGTACAATACAAAGTTGCAGAATCTCATTATATTGAAACTTACTGAAAATAGGTTTTACGCAATCTTCTCTAATAATAAGGACAACACAAAGATTACCTCATAACTGGTATCCTCACAAGAGCACTTAATAAAGGCACACAACACAAGTGAAAGCTGGTCTAGGGAGACCACTCTATGAACTTAAAAAGAATATCAAAAACAAATATTAAAACAAAATTAACTATGAAATTCACTGACAAATTCTTACAGAGACTTCAGCAGCATTTTGCCTAGAAAAGTCCAAGAATTTGGGAAAGTGTAACTGGGTGTTCCAGAAAAGAAATGTAACTGAAATTCTCTAAGTCTGTAAAGCTCTTAGTGCCTCTCATGCTTTTGTTTTGGGTCAACTATAAAAAACTGTAATCTTGCTTAGTGACCTCTCATCCTGCTTTCCTTTAGGGATACACTGCTTATGCAATCATGGCCTGTTTGTATATGTTTCTTAATTTCTGTTTGCCGGCTTGCTCCAAATAACTTCTGAACCTGTAAAACACAGGGACAGAGGCGCAGCAGTCCCAGAGGCAATGACCTTCCTATAAACTTCAGGGAAATGCACATCTGATTTTACAAAGCGGAAAGGGGGAGAGAGGCAGGCTTAGCCCCCTGAGCTCTCTAAGTGCTGTAATGCAAGCTTGGCCCTTACAAGAAGCTGGAAGGGCACAGCAAAGGAAGAAAAAAAGTCACCACAAAAATCACTCCAGCCAGGATTGACACGAGGAGTTAGCGCAGGATATGGGCCATGCAGGCAACTGAAATGCAGGCACAGTTTTGGAGGGTAACAGAAATTGGTAGTATGGTTATTAGTTGGGATAAACACTATCTTGTTTATCTATCATCTTTAGAATAGCCCCACAGGCTTTTAACTTCATAATCTAGATTTTGCCTTTGGATCAAGCACATCTGGAACGCTTGGCCCAACCTCTTTAGCCCTTATCCCAGGGAGCATCATGTGGGTTGTGGCATTTTCCAGAAGAGACAGAGGCCCAGCATTCCCAAGCATGAAGAGATTTACAACCACCATTACTGGTAATGTTCATTTCCTGCACCCTGCTCTGAGCCTACAAGGTCTTTGGAGCCGGGTCCATGCCACATGCTACCAGGCTGCAGTGCCTACTAATAACCTGGTGTTCTGTAACAGCCTATGATTAAGTGGGTAATAGCAATGGTTATCCTCACCACTCATAAATTTAAATATACACACATTTCTATATATTATATAGTCTCAATTTATGGTATAATTATAACATATAATTATAGAGACTCAGTTATTCAGATCCTCCAGACTGCTGTATTACATAAACCTCTGCACTGTTGCAGCTTACTTCAGAGGACTATCTCACTGTTTAATGGCGTTTTTTTTGTCAAATGCTATTTTTCAAATAATTTTTACAGAACGTTCTATGTAGAAACACTAATATTTAATTATTTTCATCACTACTACTTATGTAGTTTATTACAAGCATTATTATTTTATTATTAAAGTGTTAAAGATACGATTATCTTTATCACTAAAAGTTAAATTGCACTTCCAAATCTGTTTTTTTCCCCCCCTGGCTAGATGGATGTATCTCCTGAAAACCTAATATCAGATTCCCTTTCACAGCTGTTACACAATTAAAGTTGGCTGAAACAGCAAGGTTATAATACTAATGTTATGACTGAAAAATGCAACTTCATGAGAAACCAGCAGAGACAATTACAAGCCAATATTCAATTATATTTAAAAAAACAGTGCTTTGATGCACAATATAGGAATCTGACTACATGGTCTTAAGATTCAGGTTGAGTCTAACCTACTCTTAGGACGGACAGTTAGATAGCAGGCAATTTTTATTTCTTGGTTTGCTCGATTAAAGTTGCTTAAAACGAGGAGGTCTTGTTTGAGACAAGGGCTCTAAGGGTCATCTCACTTGTGTAACACACTATTGAGAAATCACCAGATCTCGGGAACACTTCTGTAATCCACTCTTATTGTGGCATGCATTGGAAAACAAAACAAGGGGAAAGTTATCACTAGTTCTGGGTATGATTTCACAAAGTCCTCTGCTCAAAACAACCCAATTTGAGCACTCTAGGAGAGGAAGGAGCCAGAACACTTTCAGGCAAGGAATAAAAGTTTTGGTCAACTTTGATCAGCCAGGAAACAGCTACCGTAGCTGCTGGCACTATTCCCCATTCTGGGTACCTGAAGTTCCTATGGTACCTGGGTACCTATGTGACACTGGTGAAAAACGTAATAAAATCATATTCTGTTAGTGATGATACTTGAGAATACACATCTAAGGCATTTTTCATTTTTTTCTGTTTCCCATGTCTTACGTTGAAGTATTTCTCTAATTAGATAACTAGCAAATACACATACAGTTAGAAAATACACAGTATCAGTCTATCGCACCCTGAAATACGGTTTCTTCAAGTTTAATTCAGTAGGTATTCATCTTTGTCTATAATATCAAGGTCAAAAGTTGTGTAAAAACATAAATCAGAGAACTGTATGCAGAAAAGAGTTAATATTCACTCACATAAACTGGCTAGAGTTAGTTTTATCCTAACCACTGAAGATACTTAAGACCAGTTCCATATAAATCAGTATATTCTCAAGTTTCAGTTAGTCTCAGATACTCACCTGCCTTCATATACAATACAAGCATCATGCACATATGCTATGTGCATATTCAGTCAAACATTAGCTAAAATTGATTTTCGTGTGGACTTTTTGTGAGTATACTTTTACAAAAACACTTTGCATGCACATGCATACACCATAAAATACATTTCTGCAATCATGAATGCAGCAACTATTTCACATCAGCAACTTTATTAGGTAGCATTATTCTTAGAGGAAGTATTAAAATAATTTATCTTAACCTGTAGGATATATTTTTAGATGGACACAATATAATTGCCATTGTAGATACTCTAGTAAAGCAAGTTGCCACAGATATCAAAAGAAAAAAGCCTATTAGATTTGCTAACATAAATATTTTAAATATGATGACCCACATACGCTGCTCTCTTATTCCCCTGAAGCTTCCAACAGTTTTCCTCCCAGCTCCCGTGTTTCTCCTGAGCAGAGGGAATCCCTCCTCCCAATCCCACACAACTTCTGGCTACAAACACCCTATGACACAGCTTCAATGTCACTGTTGATCCCAGTGATAAATCCTGCCCTATTTCTTTATCTAGAATACAATTAAAGATGGAAGTATTGGGGACTCATGAGCTAAATAAGCCAAACTATGTGTCAGGTATATTAATGTTACCGTTACATATACCAGTCTTCACTTTGATAGTGTACGCAGTGTAGTACAAGGCTTTGACTCTATGTTTATTTTAGTTCCAAATGGATGGTAGTGCTTTCCTGTATTTTCCACATCCATCCCCATTCACTCATTTTTATTCTGTCTGACTTGATGATTACCTAGAAACGTTACTGTGTGATACAGTTCAGAACATCTCAGCTTTACAATCTCATTTTTCTTTTAATTTAAATAAGAAGGCTTTTCAAGAAAAATTAACAGAGTCTGATCAGGTACTCACAGTCTCTCCAGAGATCTCAGTCCAAAGAAAGAGCCATTCTTTAACCATAATATCTTGTTGTTACTCAGAATCCTACAAGAAGTCAGGAAAGAATCTAGTTAATAGAACTCAGTAATTCCACTGATTAAGAACATGCAATTATAGTAAATGCAGAGCAGTCTCTGTAAAATACTAATCACAAAATTCTCTGCTTCATTTCCATTCTCCCATCATATCAATAGATAAAGATTACCATTTCCTGGAGTACATGGTTACTTCTTTATTAAACAAGAGTACATTCAAGGAATATATCAACTAAATGAAGTTTGCCTAGAACATGGAAATTATAACACTGATAGATGCCCATGCTTCATTAGAAGATTGTAAACTGCTTTGCCAAAGAGGCTTGTCAGGCTTCCCAACCAGCAAAAAGGCTGAGGAAGCAAGCGACAGGTTAAAACTGCTCCACTAGAGCCCAAAATAGAGCTAAAATTTGGAGTAACTACTAGAAAAGTGGGGATTTACGAAGAGCTGTACTTCCTCACTGTCAGTGACTGATGGAACTATAGCAGAAGGTTCACCCATCTGGACCTACATCCTCAAATATAGAAATGGAAAACAGAAAATATTTCATTTTGATTTTTTCATGAGATACATTTAAAAGAAAAACTCCTTACAACTCTCTGTAAAAACACCCCCAAAAAAGAAATTTTCCCCTTGCAACTACATGTGGCCCTTCCCCAGCCAGCACAATACATGCAAACTGAATCTTCCTAGTAGTTATTTAAGCAGCTGTATATTTTTCCTCAATGTTAAACTGCTAACTATAAGATCTCACTGGTAGCCTTTTCTAATGTAGTAATTCTTCATCACTTATTTTCCCAAGTATTGCAGAAGAAATATTATATAAATACACATTTGGAAGATGTAGCCTCTTAAAAATTTCAAAATACATAAGAGAAATATTTATTTTAGAAGACCAAGAAATTATTTTAAAAGATCTAATAATTTCACGGTGCACACTTTTTTTTTGTCAGTGATAAATAATTCCATCTGCTTAGGAAATTAGTCATTTAGCGCAACATTTACAATAAGTTATATTTCTCTAATGCACAAAAATTCATTTTAGAAGAAAAAAGACTCTTTCCAATACAGCCAAAATTTAAAAAAAGTTCATTACCTTAACTAGCAAATTTGACTTACAGAATCCACTCCCACATTTGTTAAAATTTTTAAAATAATCTATTACACAAGACTATCAACTTGTTTGAGTCTTAGTATTTCTTTTGTATATTATTAGTATGTGCTTAGTCCCCATACATACACAAATAGATTCACAAGACCTAAAAGCAGGGCATAGCACTTATCCATAGAGAAACTCTCCCTCCCACCCTTTCCCTGAGCAGCAACTGCCCTTCCTGCTCTGAAAGTATACCTAAATGCATTACAGAAAATTATCAATATTCCAACATTCATGCAAGTACATGACCATCAAGCAAGATGCTCCACATCTCACAAGATTCTCCTTCTACTTCTTACACTAAAATTCACAATACATGCAATACAGTAAATATTTTCCTAACCTAGCAACTCTGCATTACAGTCCTAGGAACGTATTTAAGTATATAACATCATGAAAGTGCAAGTTGTTTCAAACAGTGACATATATTGGAAAATGGTTTTAAAATAATAATCTGAACTAGAAAATGTAAATATATGAGATTTCCTACTGTTTTATCTTTTTTTTTTTCCTGATTTTATTTCCTGAGGAGGAGCAGAACTTGGATCACTCTAAGAAAAGCAAACTCCCAAGAATTACAATTGCCTGGATTTGGAAAGACTAACAAATTAAATTTCATTCCATATCACATCATTTCATCATATGTTGTGTTATAGAAAAATCATCTTGAAGGCATTTGCAATGACAGTACATACAAATATTATATTTGGATTGTTCTACTTAGCCAGATTTGCAAAGAAGCATGTACTTCAGAAACTTCATCTCACTTGCATATGGTGAGCATTTCTGTCTTGAAAATTTTGCATGATGCCCGTTTGTGTTCCTTCTCTTACATGGCACCACCTCTCCTGGTGCCCAACCAGCAAGGGCAATCTGAGCTTTATGAACTTAACTGCTTGTAAATTCTGAGCTTCAGCAGCACATATATCTCCTACTCTCCACATCTTGATCTTCTTCTGTATGGCTCTAAATGTGTAGGTTGAAAGCATAACCTATTCACATAAAAACAACTCCTGGATTTAAGGAGTACTATCTCACTGATAATCACAACAGTAAGGGTAACACTGAGTTCATAAATAAAACATATAGTCAATACAGCCAATATTCTCCAGTACTACTACATTCCTTTAGTTAATTTTCTTAAAAAAACTCAAAAGTACCAAGGACACTGCAAAAATAAAAATATCATAAAACTTAGCTACATACATTTCAGTTTATAAACTAAAACTTTCAGATCTTTATACCAAACTTTCACAGACTTTCACACAGTGATCAGGTTTCTAAATTAAGTTTCCTTCATGGCCTTCTGTTCTCTACAGCGCCAACAGAAATGCAGATTTTCTAAACACAATAATATGGATATTAGTTATAGTTAAAATCTGGAAATAATTTTTTCCTGGTGTCAAACATGAGTGTATTGTGGCTTTAGCATATTCTAGCATTCAGATAAGGTCCATGTTTTTAAAAAAATACAAAAAACTTCTCTAGAATTAATTACTACATATTATCTATGTTTCATTTCATTCATTCATAACCTATCTGTTAGATAGGTGTGTTTCATACGAAGAATCTCCATTTTCAAGCATCTTTGTTGAGGGAGACTTACGTATTGATAATGAAAAGTTTTTTGTTTTTGTTTTTTTTTAAGTAGTTAAAGGATAGTCAAACTGTGGCTCCAGACTCAAATTCCACTGAAGCATTTGATATATTACTACTTTAGAAAAGTAATTGAGTGAACATGAAATATGTAAACGTGCCTGAAACTAGTTTGCTATCGTAAGCACATGAAGTTACTATTCGTGTCTTTAGTTTTGCACATCTCTCACATGTAGCAGTATTTAACCACATTAGAAACTCTCTATTTATTTGATATGAAACTCTTATTTTAAGAAAAGATTAAGTATAATTTGTATTTTTGAAATCAATCACAACCCCACATCCACAATTTTCTCACGTTCTATTTACTGCCCTCAGCATTTTCACTTGCCTTGTTTTTTTCTCGTGTGCCAGTGAATCACAGTGCTAACACAAACATTGCTACATGCTGCGATTAACCAGCTGCTTCCACTAATTATCAGTTTCTAGCCATGTGCTAGAAATCTCACATTTCAAATATTTAATTCTGATGAAGCATTTGGAAAATGAGCACATTGTTTTAGCAAAGTAAATTCTCCAAAGTAAATTCTCCAAAAGTAAATTCTGTCTAAGATTTTACTTCTTTTAAGCATTTCCTGGGGGCATTTCTTCTCTCTTTTGAAAAACACAGCTTTCTAAAACACATTTTGCAAAATAACTTTGCACTGTGTACAATGATCCATGACCCAGGGTGGGTCCATGGATGGATCCATGACCCAAGTGGAAGGTAAAAACACAACTCAGACAGGTCAGGTGTCGATACTACCCACCCAGGTCTCCATGGGACACACTAACATACACAGGGCTTGGGAAGGAAGGCAGGTTCTCATCAGCAGGGTCACGAAACTGCAAGCTCTCACCTGAACCCCTTCATCTCTCACCTCTCCCCAGCTCCTTTGCCTAAGACCGTACCTGTGCTCTCCTTCCCCACTGGAGCCCCCCCAGCACCATCTCCCACCTCCAAGATGGTCTCCTTGGAACCCCCTGCCCTGGCCTCTAGCTGCACCCTGGTGCCTGTGATCCACACATGGAGTTTCATGGCATAAATACACTAAGTGAGTGCACTGTTCTTTTGTTCAGAATAACAGGATTGAGAGTTACAGTACGGGTTCATATTAAAATGGCAGCTTTTTGCTTCATTTTGCTCTGCAGGGAAGGACTGTGATGGAGCATCAATGGGCACAGCACTTGTGACACTTGACCCCAGGTCTCCTCTGGAGAGATCCAGTTCTCCCATTAGGATTAATCAAGTACCAATCCCAGTCTCCTTAAAGGCATGCCAGCACTTTGCTCTTGTGAAACTATGAAAAGTGCAAAGAGACATAAACTTGTGCAACAGTCTATTTAGTATAAAAACTTGTCCATCAGAGAATCTATCACATTATGAAAAAGTCTCAAATAAAAAGCTTTCAGTCACAATGAAAATCTTCAACTTCCTACAACCCCTCAAGCAGAGGGGAGGAATCTTTCTGCCATGCCCTCAAAGTCAGTGGACTTGGGTTCACTCAGAACAGAGGAAATGAATTCCACAGCCGAGGCCTATCCAGGGAAGATATGTGGCCTCCCATCCAATTGAGACTGAAGAATGTCAGCTCAGGCACACAGGTCAAAGTCTCCAAGGCTGCAGTGCGTGTATGTGTGTTTCAGATAACCAGGCCCAAGAGACACAAGGGGCTTCAGATGACGACTGCCATTCTCAAATGCACACTTAATACAGAAGGAAGCCTGTCCTGTCCCATGAAATACATTACCGAAATTGGTCTAGATCTGTCTAGTTTATGCAATCCGAACACCTGTGTCTTGAAAATGAACCCTGCAGAACTCTTTAAGGCCTTGTCATTTCAGACCAATCTGAAGGTAGCCTAATGTACCACTGCAGAAATCAAATACACTTGCCACTCCTGTACATTTCCTCTTAATCCATGCTGTTCACCACATTTTTTGATTTAAAAGACGGAAAAAACAAGGAAAAGAGAGAGAGGGAGAGAGAGAGAGGGAGGGAGGGAGGGAGGAATATCCAAGATGTCTTTGACAACAATAAACTTAGCCCACTTAGTTAACTCAGCCCACTTCTGAAACCTTATGCTGGGGTCTCTGCATTTCAAAGCTTTGCAGTTTCTTTTATAGCAACTTATATATAGCAAGTTTAAGATAGAAGGTAATTCCTTTTATTTAAACAAAATTTAAGCACTAATAATAGTGACTCGTTTTACACGTA